GGGGGAGGGGGCGGGATATCAGGCAATTGTGCCGGTGCCGGAGATGTGTTAAGCTGTGCAAAGCAATCCTCACGGTTTCTGCATCACAGAGACCCGAGAATCTCGGGTGCCGCAAGCATGAGCTTGGCAAGCAACCGCGCCCCGGAGACGGAGCATGCTGTTGTATGAATCAAGGCGTAGCTCGGTGCCTCCTCATGCCGTTGCGAAATGGTACCGTTACATGGATGCAATCTTGCGGACGGAAGCAGTGCATTGATCAAAAGCTCTCGGCGCTGCACAACACGGGTGAGACAACTGCTGCACCGAGCTTATCAGTCGGCTGTGGTACTGGTCGTGTTGACCGCTATTCTCGTAGAGGGTGGATGGGCTTCCCTTGAAGAGCACAGATGTTCAAGCATCTGCCAGTATGAACCGACCTGCGCCGTGTTACGATAGTATTTAGATTCGTACCACAGGTTTGTAGTAGCACATGAATGGGAATTGCGGCGTTGACATGGAAAACCTGGTGCTGTTACATCACACGGCCGCCATTTTGGGAGGAAGAAACGCATTGTTCTATTCGTACTATCATTCAATCGCTATACATCAAAATGAAATGAAGTGCTCGCCGGGGCTATTGCTTGATGGCTCGTCGCTTGAGCACCGGCGAGTTCTCGTTGAGGCAGTGAAAGTCGTGGGCGTCGAGGCACGCCTGTCTGCTCAGCAGAGCAGCCGGGTTCGTGCGCTCCACCATCTCTGCCTCGTACCCGTCGATCGCGGCCTTCAACGACGCCGTGCCCGCGGCCACCTCCGCCAGCGCGCGGCACAAGTTGCGCGCGTCGAGCAGGCCGTGGTTGGCCGCCTCGCCGCGGTACATGGTCATGGCATGCGCGGCGTCGCCCGCCAGCGTGACGCGGCCACCGTGGCTGTCCCACGGCTGGCACGGCCAGTCCTGCAGCAAGATCTCCATGACCTCGGCGTCCTCCGGCAAGCGGTGGACGACGTCGCGCAAGGTCGGGTGGAACTCGGCCGCGCGGCGCTTCATGATGGCGACGCGCTCGGCGTCGGCGGCGGGGACGAGCTCGTCGGCGGGCGTGCGCGCGAGCCGCGACTGGATCACCTGGAAGCTGTACGT